AAATGTATGGATCGGTACAATTTTTTTATGAGAAGTAGTATTCATATACATCTTTCATTTGACATACTGTTTTTTTTAAATCGGACCATTTCCCTATATACGAGGGGGGTTCAAATCTAAAAAATGCATGTAAAAAGTAGAACTTTTTCAACTTAAATTTTGAAAGTGTTCCGGAAGGTCTGACACTTTTATATATATCTTAAATTAAAGCTAATGTAATATACTTTATTATGGTAAAAAAAAATTTCGGACTTTATTTTATCTTCACGCTGAAAATGGCTAGCAAATGCTATTTTTGTGTGAAAATTTTCGATTTTATTTTTTACATTTTTAACTTTATAATGCTATGACATATTTAAAAGTGTATGAATCAGTACAATTTTTTTATGAGGAGTAGTATTTATATACATCTTTCATTTGACATACTGTTTTTTTAAATCANGATCAACATTATTTTTTTATAAGAAATAATATTTTTTAATAATCCCTTTTTCATTCGACATACTTTATCTTAATTAGGATATTAATAATGAACTAGCAGATCATGTAGCTTTTGGAATAATCCACCAATTTTTTAAAATTAAACACTATCTAAAGATTTGCATCGAAGTGTTTTTTTTTGATAGTGATTTTAATCACTGTCAGATATCATTATACTTGATCCATCTATGCCACGTCACCACTGTGCCGCGACCCCCCTGTGCTGGGTTTTTTTTTTTTATCCCTTATTCATTTATGAATTATGAGATATTAATCATAATATTTAGTATTAGAATTACTGAATACATTAGGAATATTATCTTATTATCTCTTAAACTGTTATTTACTCTCTAAAAATAGAACTGTATTAGTAAATTCTTTAGCTCATCATAATATTCATACTCTATCTTATGATATAATTTTACAGTCTTAATCTGCCTTAGTTATTTACTCTATTATTTTCTTTTTCCTAGAACACAAATATTATTATTCAAATAAATCTATTTAATATTTAATATTTATAATAGTCGGAGTATTATACTTATAAAAAATATACATATTTAACAAAACTGCTCTTTACCAAATTTTAATTCATGTAGTAATTATTATGTGTTGTATTAATTCATGAACATTAAATTTAGCAATAAATTAATTAAAGTTTAAGAGAAACAAATTGTATATGATATATGTGCATCAAAGTCTATCTCAAACAAAAAAACGCAATTATGATATGAAAGTTTATACGTGAAAACGACCAAATATTAATATATTATTATATATAATATATTATAATATATATTAATACTATTATATTATTTGCGGCATTTGAGTTTAATACTTTTAATTTTTTAGTTTTTAAATTAATAATATTATTAATATAGTTTTAATTTTATACAGTTTATGTTCAGAAATATAGAACCAAGTTTAAATTAAATGTAATATTTTATTTTGTTATTTGATCCATAGTAACAAATAGTCCTATTCCAAAAGAATTTTAATTTATCATTTTGTTTTCAAAACAAACTTTTGTTATTTATAAATTTTATATTCAATGATTTTTCAGAACACGATATGTTTTAAATAATAGAATAACCATAAATATTTTATTTACCAAGCTTATTAATAATTTATAGATCATGTATATTACAAATATTTTGGTATATTAAATTATTTATGGATATTTCATACATAATAGTATTTGTTTTGTTTGTAAACTAGTATAATGCATTGAGTAAATTATAATTAATACGATAAAAATATTTTAGTTTGATTTTTCAACCAAGTTTTAAATTTCATATAAATTCTTTCTTGGGTAAAAGTTTATAATTTCATTTATATTTATTTTTTATAAGGTTTTATGACTGGTGATAATTTTATTCATAAAATTTATAAATGAAACGTTTTTCTTATAAAAAATATAAAGTTGAAATTTTATTAAACTCATGAAACCGATGACATTGAAACAATTAAACTAGAAAAGAATTATGATATTAACAAAGAATTCAAACAATATTTCTTTATTTTGTTTCCCTATTTTATTAAAAAATATTGTACTGTTATAAAAAATCATCAATATTTGTTACTAATAAATTCATTTACCATTCAAAAATAGGTTTTTAACAGTGAATAGCTTGTTATTATAATCTGAAAAAAAACGATAATAACTGTTTTTTCAAATCATTACATTTTAAAATAACTAACAAAAGTAAAATAATTTTTTTGGTTTTTGATAATTTAATTAATAATTTACAGTATTTTTTTATAAAAAATTTACAATGAGTTGTTACTAAATATTAAATTAGTTTTATTATTCATACTACTCTGAATGTAAAAGTTTTAGTATATTTGTTTATTAACTTAAATATAAAAACTATTAATATTTGAAGATATGAGATCGAATTAACTCGCTTCAAAACTTTGGTACTGTAAACTTATTATAACTCGGTGTGTAGTTATAAGTTTTTAATACGTTTTCATAAAACTGGTAACAAATATTGTATAGTTAATTTTTTGTTTCTAAAATCAAGATACATTTTATTTCTGTATATAAAAATATATAGAAGTTTTGCATCCTATGATTAATTTTTAACTTTAAAACGGATTAAAATAATTATTAAATAACTTTAAATCATTATATCTATACATATTGTAAAGAATAAATATAATTAATCATTGAAACATTGGTGACTCATTTCGTCACAGTAATTTAATGCATACATTATATCTTATAAGTATATGAGTTAACTTAATATCAAATGTTTAAGTAAAATTATTTATTAATATTTTTAACGAGAAAAAAGCAATATTACTGAAAAAATATCTATCTAAATTCAAATAGGATACGATTTAATAATTATTTTTCAACAAATAAGTAACAATCTTTGGACCATATGTAAAGGTCATTAGCCTTATTATAATTAATGTATTCAATTTTTACGTCATGTTCTTTTTAATATATTATTATTTGTATAACACAGACTTTCGTCCTGGGTGATCAACTGAACAATCACTCATGCGGGCCCGTAACAATCTAGTAATTTAATAATTAAAACTTAAATCTAAAAGCAAAATGAACAAACTCACTAATAAAACACAACGAATATAAACGTAACTATCGTAATAAATCGTATAATTTTATTTAAATGTGGATAAATTTACTCAAAAAACAAAAGAAAAAGATGACTTATATAAGTATATGTACCGAAATTTAAATTAATACGAACTATTTTATAAACTACTGGTTGTTGCATTAACAAAAAATGCGGTTACTGTTTTATAATTAAACTTAATATATTTTTTATGAAAGGTGCATTCGAAAAACACTCTGCTCTACAATGAAATGCAGCATATTGAAGATCTTGTCTAAAATATTTTGTTTATTAAAATTAAAAGTAACATAAATTCTAATAGTTTAAAATATCCTAAAGCAACAAGATATAATTTTTATTATTAACTAACGAATATTATGATGGTGTGGTAAAAAAATAATAACACCTGCATTCCCTTTTTTTATTAGCTGATTTAAAATCACTCATAAAATTGACGCCAGACACTTAATGGTTATTTTAACTTCATACATTATCAACGTCAGAGCATCTGTAAACATTTAATATAAATAATCCAATGGAAAAATTAACTTCATAAAATGTAAGTGCTGAATGGGTTCAAGTTGAAATAGCTTTTCAATTTCAATGACCATTTTAGAAAAGTTATGTGTTTATTAAATCGAATCGAGAAACTAGTATAAAAGATTTAATTGAATAAAGCAAGCTAGTTCCAGACTCAATTTTGAAAAAGAATTATTTCTTGAAGCGATAACATTCTTGATTAATGAGATGTTACTATATAGATCCATTGTGATATATAATATTACATTACCGTAATATTGTACGCTATTTATCATGTAAACTAAAAGATAATGTTCTAGTGGATAATATCGTATATCATTTATATAGAAAACGTAATTAATTGGTTATAGGATATAAAAATTAACTTTAAAATGCACTCATTAACTACTTTATTGAAAACTTATATGTTACTAAACACAAATAAAATATAAATATTGTCTGTTTAAGTTAAAAATAATTGAATTGTAATAATAAGAAACATTTGACCAACTTGGTCAATAAATTTCCATTTAATATGTTTTTTGTTGGAGTAAAAGTTATAATATATAAAATCCATAGTTTCAATTCACAAAAACACGTTTTTTTTTTATATAAAGTGTTGCAATAAATTAGTATGTTGCGATGTCATTCCATATTTATCTTTTTTGCAATAAATTAGAAGATATATTTATTTTTATCGAATTTTATCATCAAAAATATCTTAGATAGTCTGTACATTTCACTTATTAAAATTTATTTTTCAGTTATTCAGTATAGTTGAATTCTCATTTTGATACTTGTTCATCACATTTTTCAAATTTTATATTTTATTTGTGAATACATTGTATTATTCACATAATAGTATATTGTGTTATTACTTTTATCGACTCGCATCGGCTATTATTATTTTTTTTTTCATAAATCTTACAATAAAGTCTGTCATTTTTTGACACATTCGAAATAAAACAAATGCTTGTTTTAAAATTAATAAATCTTTTAGAGGTTCTATTTTATTATGTAGTATTCCATGACATACATAGTTGCAACATCTGTGCGACATTATTATATTATTCAATACGAGTGTAGAGCTCAAATTCGGAAAACGATTAGTAGGTTTTTTTTTCTTTCCGTTTTATACTTTTCTCTACTTATTGAATTTTTAAAATTTTATGTTAACGTACACCACTGCTGACGGAATAACTTTAGTGAACCCCTTTTACAAATGAAGGTTTTCAGTGTGTAAGGATCCCCTCTCCCACCCCAATCGAGACCACTGATGGTAAAACATAATTGTGGGTGGAGAGCTGATTGTGTGTGTTGTACGGCGGGTGTATGTGCGCGCGACAGCAGTTGCTCGTTTCGGCGTCCAGGTGTCGCGACGGTCGAATTGAGTTTTCATCGTTCTCCGCTCCCGGACTCATCGCATGTGAGATTCATGTGGTTCGCCCGCACTATTAACCACACGGTGCCGAGTTCGACGCGCTCTTCTCGCCGGATGTGCTATTAATTGATTTACATAGACTAATTATTATTGTTCTGTCCGTACGCGTATTGTCTACTAGAATACATAGATCAACGGATTATTGTTTGCGATTATAGTTATTTTTTTTTAATTGATCATGTTCTATTAGTCGGTTTTTTTTAATTAAAAATCGTTTTTTCGTCTTGAAGCCTTTTCAGAAAGTTAAATTTTTTTTTGTTTTTAATTCGATTTTTTATTTGTGCGACCGATATTTTCGTTTATTACACTTGTTTTATTATTATTTTTTTTTGAGTTCTATGTTTTGATAATAATTAATTTTAACTGAATTATTGTTGTGATATTGTGGAAAAAACAGTCAATCCAAAAATTAATTTATTGCAATTATTGAGTGTTAATCTAACGTGAAAAAATAATCCATAATAATCGGCTGATTTTATATGTTTTATGACTCCTGTCAGAATAAAGTCCTAGGAACGTACCTAGGACCTCGATTTAATTAAAAGTGCATAAAAATGGAAGCTACTTACTGCATTGGAAACGACGTTGACGTATGCCGAATGTTTGACCAATATCTATATAAGGTATAGTAATCTTGATTTTTTTATATAGAGTTTATTACTCAAAACCTTTTATGTTTGGAGCTTAGAATAAGTACTTGTGTATGTGTGTGTGTTTTTTTTTTTTTTGTGAGTAAATAACTACGGTGACGTCATTACTGTACCACCCATAACATTTATTAATATAAAAAAAGTAATAAATAATTAAGAAATATGAACGATGAAGAATCTATAAGTTTTGAAAAAAAAAAAAAATTGTAATTATTCAACGTCTCTGCAGTCTGGGTGGAACCATAAAGATGTAAATTACTCTTTGAAACCGGTTTTTTGAAGTTTTTTAATGATTAATACACTACGATGAAATTAAACATAAAAAAGGATCGTTACAAAAATTGATTTCAGATAGGTTCCCGAACAACACGTATCAATCGGTGTGATAGTTATTTTACCGAATTAAAAATATATTTAGTTCGTCCGGCAGAATGATGGTAACAACGATTAATGAATTAACCACCGAGTCTGGGCAGGGTCAACCAACCATGGCCTTGGTTGGCCTTGAACCCGACCAGCATCTTCAGACGTGTACCATCACTCAGGAATTCCATATTTCGATACTTAATTTTGTAATAACAGTATTATCGATGTCGGCAATTTGTGATTACCTCTAACGGTCACAAATCGAAACCCCGACTGCTTAAAATATGATAATTTCATTGTGATTTAATAAAACTAATTACGTCTCTCTCCGTTGAGAAAAAATAACCGAGTAGTTTCCAGAAGGTTCGGTTAGTGTAATGTTCAGCTCTGGTAATGACGCTAACGATGTAGTTAAAATTAAATTAATAGTTTTATTAAGTGCTTGTTCTGAGTGCACTGTATAATATGATTACTGTTCGTTGTTTATTGTCAGGAGTATTACTTAAAATTTTCCCTTAATTTTTCGGATGTAAATTATTATTATTATTATAAATTAACATAAAATGAAAACGACAGAGAGGACATTTTATCGGATCGTATTAATATGAACTGATAGCGATAAAATTTTAACTCGAGTTAATAAGATATCGCACGACACCAACACGGTAAATTTCGAATATGTTGAAATTCTTTTCCCGGTTTTCCCATGACGGGGCAAATACTGAAAAACCGGCTCCATTAACCATAGTCTAGTTGTCCAACACATGTTGTAAACAATTATTCGATATTTTCTTCTCTTGACTTTGTTAAACGCACACATCAAACAGGCTCGTTCACAAAACGAACAGCAAGAAAATAAAATTCTAAACAAATAAATGCGTAAGCGTTTATTCTAAAAGGAAAAAATGGATATCATTACGTTTTTATCTGTTGACTACCTTCTCTGATACACCCCTTCTTCTCACCCTACAATCACAATTTCTCGTTATTTTCTATTGTATGCTAATACTTGCTGTGTACATCCCATATTTACAATAAACGTTTGTACAATTATTTATACTAAAGCAAACCGATAAGAGACTTAAAATAAAGATTCAGAATTATTTATTAGAAAGCTATTGTGCTCTTCTATGGACCAGTACTTTATTACTGAAGGATTTATTGAAAAAAAGTCAAGTGCAAGCACACGTCATGACCTCTTTTTTTTTTTTTTTTTTTTTGTGTTTACAAAGGTATATATATTTTTAATGCACATTTTTTATTGCTCCCAGGCTGGAGTCTTCTGATTTAATGGTAATAAAATGTGTTCCATCCATGAATACTAATTGGTTCATTACATTCAGATTTAAATTCATTTTATTTATCTCGTTACATTTAGTTTCATGTCTAATAAATCGAACGGTTACGTTATATCCATCCGTCGCTCAGTCATCGTCCCTATCTATTTATTATACGATTTCTACGATAACGATAATGCATTTTGATAATAATATTTCACTACCGGTATTTTAGATTAATAAAAATTATTCGACATTGCAAATGTTTTTTGAAGCTTACACTGTAGAATTCTAAATTATTTATGATTTTTTTTTTGTGTGTACATGTGAGTATGCATAATTGTTGAGCTTTAGTAATTTATTTAGTACTAAAGTATAAATACTGTTTTAACTGGCACACAACCAGAATACAATTATTCTGCCGTAAAGATTAATAAAACTCATCAGCTCTTTCTTTTTCTGGCTAAACCGATAAAAATTATTTTTAAATTGATTTCGGCTGTATAATGACAATGGAATTATTTGGTATAACGTCAATTCTGTACCTCGAAATTTCATTGTGCAATAATCCTATCGTTGCAATTGTCTGCATTCGATTATAATATTTTGCTTACATTAGTAAATTTGCCGCAGTCATGAAAAAAAAAAAAATGTTGAAAAAAGATATTACTCAGATTTTCATGATATGACAAACCATTTAATATTTATCCATTGTGTAATCCTAATAATGCTTAACTCGATTTATGTATTTTTAATTAATATTTTATTACAGTTTTAATAAACCGACCGAGTATCAAAACTACGATTGTGTGATTAAAGAACGATAGTGATGACCCAAACCTATTCATATATGGAATTTTAATTTTCAGGCTGACCCCTTCATACATTTCATTACAAATGAGTTAAGTCGAACTGATATTAAAAAATATTTTTACTATAGAATAATTTAGTAAATACTCATATTAGAAGAAATAAATATCCGAGTTAACATTAATATTATAACAATTGGTTTAGGTTTGTTACAAGAAATATTTTTAGAAATTGCGATAAACGACAATATATGATGTCATATTTGAACGATAAATAATTAAAATAGTTTGTAGACGTCAAAAAATATACACGAATTAATTAATCCGATGAATTTTTGATTAATTGACTTTTATCAGCAAGCATTTTGTCCAATTTAGTTGTCACATTTTTAAAATTTTCCATAGATAAAGGAGTTGAGTTTTTCTTCAGCGAAGTCGCCTTGTCCGGGCTTTTAACAAAATCTAAATTTTTTTTTAATTTTATTCTCAATTGGTTCAATACTTGAAATTTTCAAACAGATTAGTGTATTATACTCACTCGAGTTTTTGTTGTCAGAATTTAACTTTTCGATCTGCATCACTTTTCGAAGAATAGGGCTCTTAATAAAATTATCTTCTACTGTTGTGATTGTTACTGGTGAGAATCGATGTAAAGAAGGTAGTTCATATACACGAGCTTTTACTAAAAATACCGGTTCAGCATATTCGACTTGAATGATAAAATATAAATACAAATAATTAATATTATGACCCCTTTTAGATACCGATAAACATGAAAAACCAATTAAAGAATACATTTTATGGTTTTAACTGTTTATAGTTTTTTTTTTTTCTATTAAAATGCAAACACTATCAATTCAAACCGTTACTAAATAAAAATAATAATAATAATAGAATAATTTTCATGTTTTTGTTAGAAAAATAATCTGTGAAAGCAATAATTGTTTGACATGTTTTAACAGTGTAAAAAAACTGAATAGACAAACGTATTGTCAGTGTCAGTCAAACAAGTTAAATTTATCGTGTGAATGGAATTCCGTTAAGTTGAGAGCGAAAATAAAATTATGATATTTTTTTTTATAATTACTTGGCCTTCCAAACGAGTGAACCATACATAGTGGGTACGCCCTACTACCAGGCCGCACCCATGTACTGAAGTCAGACATTAAAATTTACTAAAAAATTATTAAACTTCAATAGTTTTACTTTAATAAAGTAACTTACAGGTATTACAATTTAGAAAAACCGTTAATTTTTGTTTCGCTAAAAGTATTCACAATTGATGGTCACCTGTACGTCCAACGACATGGATGTAAAATTTCAAAGATATTTGATGTGAACGATGACTAGATGGGTAAATAAAGGCCGCAAGAAGTTAATGCATTTTAAGTAATGTGTTAGTTACAACGGCACACTGTTGTACGCGCTTAAACATTCAGATGATGATACTTTCTGACTTGTTTAAAAGCTTTAAGTAATACTAGAATTATTTCTAAATATATATATATTAATATATTAAATAGATAGTTTAGGCTATTTTAATTATACAAAATAATTTATAGGCAAACTAAAACTAATATCGATTTAAAATCAAATTATAATATATCAGTTATAAGATGGTATTAAATTTCTTTTTTAATAAAAGAATTATAATGTAATGTATTGTACCTATTATTATTGTTTATATTGGAAAGACGTGAAGTGGAAGAAGGCGAGGGGATGGGTAACTATATGATGATATATTTTTTGAACGATTCATGTATTACACAATGGTAATAAAACGGCATAAAATCAAATAAGACCGGGGAATATATATTTTTTAAATAATATGTACCATGTGGTATACTTCGAGACTGGCAATGGAACACAAACAGAATAAAACTATTGTTTATTCTATACATAAAAAAGTATAGTATTTAATGATATATAAATTTGATTTTGAGTGTTGTCTTTTCTTGGTCGGACAATGAAAAAAAAATGAAATACCGAGTTTTTGACTTGAGCCTAGAAATCTACATTAATAATTTATATGTGCTATTAATAAATTTACAAATAATGTAACTGTTGTGGTTATGAAAAATAAATTAATCTATCCAGTAACACTAAACTTTTAAAAAGTATATTAGCCTACCACTCTTATAAGTTCTAGAAGTAAAAGCAATTTGATTTTTATACCGTTTTCAAATTAAAGTTAAATTATTTTTAAGAAACGAAAATAGGTGAATTACAATTAAAGATAATATTTTCCAAATAAAATAGATATTTTTAAGTGTTAAATGTTTTATTCGGTCGAGGTTGTAAACTATAGAGATCGAAATGACAAGTTATGATTTTATGTTGTAACAAATCTATTATAGCTACTTTTTTTTTTAATTTTGTGTAAAATATTTATTTTTATACTAATCCCTCTTGTGAAATTAGATTAACGACGGTGTGTCGTTATAATAACTCTGAAGTATTGCGATTGTGCTGCCAGCCAATCAGACTTAAGTATAGAAAATAAAAATAATAATGAATAAAA